TAAGACTTGTGGACTTCAACTCCCAGAATTCTCCAGCCAGCATATGCTGGCTGGAGAATTCTGGGAGTTGAAGTCCACAAGTCTTAAAGTTGCCAAGTTTGGGGACCCCTGCTATAAAGTATAGTATGCAGAGATCTCTAGTATAAATATTATTTCCCACTGCCTTGCGTTATTTCTAAAATCTTATATTTTTATCTGCAGGGCGCCCAGGAAATGTTCAACGCTCTCCCTTGTGAGTTTGTGGAACCCCATGAATTGAAGGAGGTCTCTAGAAGTGGAGGTACTACTAAATCAAATCATACGTGCATTAGAAATTTGCGGTATCCGGTGTCTTCTGTCTGATTTACTGCCTGTTTCATCACAGACCTTAGAAAAGTGTATGGAACAGTGCTAAGTCGACATCAACATCTTGTAAGGAAAACTGATGGGGTATATGATCCAGTAGAATATGACAAGCATCCAGAACTCTATACATCACGGTTTAACAATGATGTAAGTAGGACCTCTGATCTTTCCCAGGTTAGGAGCTCCTTGTTCTTTGAAATTCACCATAGATTGTGAAACTCCTGCCCTCTAGTCATCAAGCACTTGTCTGAAATTCATGCTAGTAATTCTTGGCAAGGTATCCTACCTGAACAAAGCCCCCTCCCTTTTTTTTCTTTTGGATCCTTCAACTCTTGATTACCTAAACCTACTTCTGAAAAGCCCAACATTGATCACCTGTTATCAGGGCAGCCTGTTTCACCCCCAAATCTTTGGATGTCAAAATAAGCACGCGTTGATGGAAACAGCCATTCAAGGAAATTAATTTAACGCGTGCAATGGATATCACGGGGAATAAGTAAAATACAGTTTCATTGACAGATTGCGCCCTATGCTACCTGCGTGATAAATGGAATCTACTGGGAGCAGAAGACCCCACGCTTGCTAAGCAGACAGGATGCACGGAAGCTTTTGACTCCCCTCCAGCCGTCTCCCGCCGCTACAGAGGGCTGCCCTGAATTGCCACACAAGTAAGATGTTTTAACCATGACGTGATCTGAAAACAACCAGCTCACAGTGGAATGGATGAACCGGACTTAGAGCCTGTGGAGCTTGACTGGCACTGGGGGAAAAAAACAAAAAGCTGGAAAAACATTGGAGAAGGAATGCTCTTTAATCTCCCCTTTGCTTTTGTGATTCCCTATGCCACTTTAACATTTACTCCAGAAGATGCTGACATTTGGGAACATGATGAGAGCTGGTGCTGTAGGTTTGCAGGACAGATGATGATTGGAGAATTGGCCCTAATATATCCAAAATAGCCAGATGCCAAAATGATCTTCTTCAGCTGCTATCTTCATCATTCCCATTATTAGTCATACAGGTTAGGCTGGCAGTTAGAGTAATAGGTGACAAGTAATTTATCTCGTTGCTAGTTAAATATCTCTCTCCTGTCTAATTATTAGATAATTAGACTACATAGTAATAAAATAGCTTTCCCCAATTGATAGGAAGAATATTAAAAGGCAACTAATATAGGGCAAATATCATTTAAAACTTGCTAGGGCAAGCGAGATAGTTTAAAAAATTGCATATCATTTGGATGAAGATTCCTTTGCCTGTTGATACGTATATAACATTGAGGGATTCCTTGCCAATCTGAACATACAGTATTAAAATCAGGGGTGGGATTCAAATTTTTTAACTACCGGTTCTGTGGGCATTGCTAGGTGGGCATGGCCATGTGACTGGGTGGGCATGGCTTTTTTTTTTGCAGCAGCACCCCCCCCCCCATTTTTTGCCTCCTGGGCCTCAGGGAAGCCTCCTGAGGGGTCGTTTTTGCTCCCAGGAAGACAAAAAATGGAGCATGGGGGGCCCGTGCAACACCTCCCCCCACCCCTTTTTGCCTCCTGGGCCTCAGGGAAACCACCTGGGCGAAGCAGTAAGACAGTGAGTGGGATTCCGGCACACCTGATCATCGGGAGGGGAAAAAAGAAAGAAATACCTTAAGGCAGGGGTCCCCAACCACCGGTCCGTGGACCGGTACCGGTCCGTGGAACATTTCCTACCGGGCCGCCGGTTTGCTGGGCGCCGCCATCTTGTTTGACGAGAAAGTGCTTCCGGGTGAGCTTTTCAGGTTGGAAAGCGGCGTTTGGGTGCTGAAGGAATCCTTGCGCCTTAGTTTCATCGAAGGGGGGGCTTCGAACGAAACTAAGGCGCGAGGATTCTTTCAGCACCCAAGGCAAGGCGAGCCGAGCGACCGTCCCGAAGCGAAGCCCATCGACAAAGGTACAAAGGAGGAGTTGAAGGTGGCAGGGAGAAGCGGGGGACGGCTGGCTGGCCGGTCGCTCGGCTCGCCTTGCCTTGTCATGCGTGCTGATGCCGGTACTGGGCCGCGGATCATTTTGTGATGCCGGTACCGGGCCGTGGCACAAAAAAGGTTGGGGGCCACTGCCTTAAGGAGTGACTGGGTGGGGGAGAACGCAGTAAGTGATGTCGGGCATGTGCGCAAATGTCGTACATGCATGATAAGGACTGACTGGGAGGGAAGGGGAGGGCAGAGAGGGGCAAGGGCATGATTTGTCAGTTCTCCGAACTGCGCAGAATCATAACAACCGGTTCACTCCTGGTTAAAATCCTTATAAATAGCATGTTTTCAAATTATGTCAAGGTTTATAGACCAATAGTTTGAGTTTGAATATAGACCGTATCAACTCTAAAAAGGGACGCATTTAATTCCAATTATCAGGGTTTTCTGGGAAAGATCCCGGAATTACATTTCTAATGAATAAGTCTGTACCAAATACCCAGTTGACTAAATTGGCATCCTTCTAGTCTATTCTTACCAATGCAGTAACTTTTCTGTTATTGCTAATAATAATGATTTTTTTTTTCTACTGAGTTCACGTATGCCTATGGATTCAGCTGCACTTCTCTATCTTGTATAGGTAACCTGGTGACTTGAAATAGTGTGGATTTATACTGTACAGTCTTTTGCCACTAGCCATGGTGATTGATACTGGTAAAAATGAATCCAAAATATTTGGATGACAACAATTATCTATCTCTGCCTTTTATGACCTACTATGCATGGTTATTACGTTATGATTTCATTAATTTTAGGCATGTCACATTCGACAGTCTTGATTTGAAACGTATCTTTAAAAATACCAAAATAAATAGGAAAAAATATTCATTCTACTAGACTTATGTCTAAACCTTACCTGGTGACGAGTATTGTGTTAGCATTCTTCTCCACTGCTTTCATTCCTTTTTAATAAAATTGTACCTTGGAATGGTAATGCTTCTCAAGTTTCCAGTTTTATTGTTTTTTTATAATTAATGACAATCTTGCTGAGATGAATGTAGTTAAATCAATCTCACTATATAAGGTATAATAATAATGTAAAAATAATATATATAATATATAATAATAATATAATATATAATAATAATAATATACTATATAATAATAATATAATATATAATAATAATATAATATAATAATAATAATATAATAATGTTGAACACACAGAGAGACAAAGGAAGCTCCAGAACTATTCCTAATTTGGGTCATTGTCCAATTAGAACATGGTTAGAAGCTGGATATTCAGAAATACAAATCTCATAATTTATGAAGATAGCATTTTTTCCCACTTAAATCTATCCATAATGACATTTCATTCATTATTCTGAGGGATATTTTTGTCAATGGATTATTATTCTGTTTTAATCAATTCTAGACTTGTTGCAATATGTGACATCTCAGCGGACACTGAAGGATCTATAGAATTTATGACAGAATGTACAACAATTGATAGTCCATTCTGTATGTATGATGCTGACCAGCATATTAATCATGACAGGTAAGAGATTTTATTTGTACTGGGTTGCTTTTGAATTGAGAATTCAGGGCTTTTTTTTGTTTTTTAATATGGTTTTGCAATCCTTTACTTAACTAGGATGAATGTTATCAACCATAAGGGATGCCAAGATAATTTAGTTTAAGGAATTTCTGGAAATAAAAGTTTCCTTCTTAACTACCCATTTCTTGGCAGTTATTTGTAAATGAGCCCTTTCTCAAACGCTTCTGGCAGGGCAAGGGTTCTCTTTAAACAGTATGCAAAAATTAATCAGACTTTTTGGAAGAGAAGTGAAAATCTTATTCTGTGTACTATTTACTTTAAGATCCAAGCCAGATTGGGAAGTAGGTTACGTTCCCTAGCATTCCCTAAACCAGGGGTGTCAAACTCAAGGCCCGCAGGCTGGATCCGGTCCGCAGGGTGCTTAGATTTGGCCCACTGAGCCACCCTGGAAACAGTGAAGGGCTGACCCATGGTGCCTCTGCCAGCATAAAAGGAGCTCAGGAGGGCCACAGGTGACCCTCCTAAGCTCTGTTTTTGCTGTCAGGGGTTTGCAGGGGGCCATCACAGCCAAAAACAGAGCTTGAGAGCTTGTTTTCTTCGGCAAAGTGCCCACGCCACCACAGGCATCCCCGACACGAGTGATATTGGGCTGGCCATGCCCCTCCAAGGTCAAACACAACCCTGATATGGCCCTCAATGAAATCAAGTTTGATACCCCTGCCCTAGACCCTACCTGATAGGTGGCCTCCTCCATCTTAAGAGACAGTTCAACTCTTCTCCAATTCCATTCGTGGCATCTTTTTGACCGTTCATTACATGGAATGAAATGTCTATCTCTTCCAGTGTAGAGGGACTTGGGATTTTGATGTGTTCTATTGATAACCTACCAGCTCAGCTTCCAATAGAGTCAACAGAATGTTTTGGAGACATGCTGTTCCCCTATATTGAAGAAATGGTAAGTAGAGGATGCACCCTTTGATCTATTCTAACTAAAAGAAATCTGCTGTAAAATGTATCAGGCTTTCATGAAATGATTTCTAGATACTCTTTTTTTCATCTTGCTAAAGTTTAATCTTTTCAGATGGTTTAATATTTTCAAATATTGTTGGACAGCTTTTCTTCCTTCCTCTGCTCAACATTGTTTGAGAGAAATTCTTCATGTGGGGATAAAAATGTAGGAGATGAATGTTGCATACATATAGTATATCATCTAGGATCCATTTCATTAAAGTTGTCTTCCTACCTAAATTATGATAGTTCTTTTCTGGATATGTTTCATCTATGCTAATTTGGGCAGTTCTTCAAAAGGTGGTTAGTGGAACTTTTTTTAAAAAAATAAATGCAATGGATAATATTGTACTATAGCCCAATCTGATTGGCTATGTGGTATATCATGATATCATTACATTTGTGATATTTAAAGTGGAAAATGGACATTATTGGATTGAAAAACAAACAAATAGGCTTTAAATAGTTATGGTAAAACCAGTGAAAACCTCCAATGGAGTGGTTACAAAATTTAATACAGCTTTAATTTGCACTGAAAACGTATTTTGGGTAGAGTTGGGTAAAGGAATAACTCTATTTTAGAGTACTTGGTGATCTCTGAACTTGGTTGTTTGCTTTTTATTACCTGAATAGGTAACATTATTGGAGGTAGTGAGTATACTGTTTGTTCCCTATTTATATATATAGTAGCTCAAGTGTTGTTAGGAATGTGGTTTTTTCCTTGGAAGTTTTTGATTAGGATATTGGGTTTTTTTTTGCTAGATTTTGTCTGCTGTTAATTCCTGCTTATCTGAGTTTTGGTTGCTGGAGTGGAATGTGGTCTTTTTGTTTCCTTCTTAGCTTTTTTAATTGCCTCTTTTGAATGGTGTGCCACGCTTACATCACAAAGGTGCAGCAATGCTTTTGACATTTGACAAAAGCCTCCAATCCTATGGATGCCTCGGGGAACTATGGTTAACCTGATTTTATTTTTATCTTTATTGATTCACCCAGTAAAACCATTTTCTAACATATAAATAAAGGTGAGGAAAGATTTGTGTCTGACAAATGTTATCTGGCAGGGACATGTCTATTGCGGTGGTTTTCTAGATACTAGACTGCAATTCTATAGCTTTGTGTGACATGAAAACAATGAACTAAATATATAGCAGCATTATTGACTGTTTTGAGGATAGGATGTTTCAAAATAGCTACTAAAAATAAATATAAGTTAAATATCAAATTTTAATCAATTTGGATTCTGAATACATTTTTAAAATGGAGACACCAGTGACTGAATTTGGGATAATCTCATATAAGGCTATGCTCTTCTGTTGGCTAGAAATAGATTTCAAGTGTTTTCATAGCACATCAAAAGTATTTTATGATGCTTCCAGTGCAAGTTATTCCTTTGCTATAAGGAATTACTCAAATATATTAGGACTACAACATTCACAGTCATTGGTGTGATATCTGTTTGCCTATCCCTATTTTAAACAATGCTTCTGTAAAATCCAGTTGTTAAGCTGGTTTCTTATAGTTTCCTGAATTGTTCTTTTGTGTTGTGATATGAAAATTTATATGTGTTAAATGTAGTTCCTTTCCAAATCTTACTCAAGAACAAAAAGAATAATCTTTTATATTACTTTCTAAGAATCACAGTTCTTGCGTCTCTTGCCTTCTAGATAAAAATTGTAATTAGGGAATGTACAAAAAGACATGTCTTATAGATTTGGCTTTTTGTTTGTATTTTGTTCTTTTCTTCCTGCCTTCCAGATTTTATATGTGTTGCAGATCAGGCAACCTGTGGATAAAAAGTTGGAACTGGTTCTTGATTTCCTCTTTAGAAAATTGTATATATATATATATATATATATTATAGTCTGTGGTATAAAAATATATTGTGCTTGTATCCTTCTCACCTCAGTGGTGTTAATATTAAGTGAAAATGTGGAGAAGTTTAATCCTAGAAAAGTTTTAATTGCCAATTAACGTTCCTGAAAATTTCTCATTTTCAAAATAATGTGGCTACTATGCAGCCAGCCTTTTCATTTGAGTTTCTGTCTTGACAGTTTTAATATTTTTTTCCCAAGGTTTTCTTATCTGTCCAACATAATTACATATCTGAGGGTGTGTGTCTATATAAAAGCAAGTATTCTAACAGAAAACCTTGCTCTCCACAGCTCCTCTCTGATGCTTCAGAGCCCCTGGAAAGCCAGAATTATTCACCTGTAGTTAGAGATGTAAGTCTTACAAATCAATTGTCCTTCTTCCACACGCTTTAAAAAGGAAATCTGGCATGCCAAGGTCAAATGTAAAAAGAGTAATGACGTCTTTCTTATACTTTTCTAGGCAGTGATTACATCCAATGGTTCACTGACTGATAAGTATAAATATATCCAGAAACTAAGGGAGAACAGGTAATACACAGGGTACTTTTTTCCCTCTTCAGAATATATTCATCTCAGGTGTAATGCTATGTGTGCATACTAATATGAATGTTTTGCTTTATGAGGTTAACATAGCAATCACAACGTGTCTACGTAAAGCAGGGGTCTCCAAACTTGGCAACTTTAAGGCTTGTGGACTTCAACTCCCAGAATTCCCCAGCCAGCAAAGCTTAAAGTCTTAAAGTTGCCAAGTTTGGGGACCCCTGATGTAAAGTCATGCAAAAACAAAAGGAGCAAATATGGACCATTCATATTAGTGTTACAACTAATGATTAGATATTTGTGATTCTTTGGAAAAAATGTCCAAAGTTTACTTTTAAATCTGATCATCTTGGACTACAGCCACTGAAATGCGCGATATATAAAGATTCACTTGAAGGTGACATTGGCCTTGATTTGAAGGATTCATTTGAAAGCAATTCAATTTAGTGCAGAATTCAATTGATATAATAAAGTGGTTTCTGCACTTTGTTATTTTGGGGACATGCAGACAACACACACATACACACACACGCGCACATATGTATGTCTACATACACACGTATGTATGCCTTTTGTGCCCTGATCAATGCACACTTGACTTTATGGCAGTACAATAGAAACCAATTAATATTGCTAGTTTCTGGGCAAGATCTGTTTAACTTGTACATATTTTAATCTTGTATTTTATATTTTAAATTTTATGTTGTATACCAGTGATGGCTAACCTTTTCCACGCCACGTACCAAAAAGGTATGCCCATGGTGCAATGTGTGCATGACCCCCCCCCCCTGTGTATGTGCACGCATTTCCCACGCACATGTCTTCCACGCATGTGTGGCAGATACCCGACAATCAGCTGGCTGTTGGGGGGCGTGCACACATGCACAGTGTGACTCTTCTGGGCGATCTCTCATGTGCTGGCAGAAATGGCTATGTGTGCTACTTCCCGCACATGTGCCACAGGTTCGCCATCACGGTTGTATACTCTGTGTTATTTTAATTGTGATGCTTCTGATACGATTAAAAAAATAATGAAGTGGCCTTATGTAACATAAATTCTGAAAGGGTTACATTTTTTCCCCGTTAGCTTTGGAAAACACGATGTTGGTTCCCACCTTTATTGCACATTCGGAGTGTATATTTAACATTTAGCAAGATGCCAAGGATCACAGTGGGAGAAGTAATGATGGAAAATAGATGAAAAATTTTCATCTTTCCCCCCTTGGGTTTTTGGAGGGATTTCATTTCTTCTTTGTTTTAAAATGTATGTCAGTCATGTTTTAAGACTTAGGCTGTATTTCTGTGTGTTTCCCATCACACAATTCAGAAAAAAACATGTTACCATTTTTAGCAATTTTGGACAGAGAACCTTCTAGAGATTGTGATAGTTGAGGCTTGTTTTAATCTCTTAAAATGATTCTATTTCTCTTCTGAATTGTTTCTTTCAGTACCCCACCCAGAGAGAGGGAGGGGCTTCCATGTTGTATAAGGGGAGATAACCTCTAGTTTTGCATTGATTATAGTAGCGCCTAGAGCAGGGTTGTGCAGTTTGGATGTCACTTAAGAGTTCTTTTGGAAAGATTTCCATCAATATCATACAGCCCTGGGTTTTTTGTTGTACACTTCTGGCCTCAGACAATACATTTAATGCTGCCATTATAGTCTCTGTAAATTTTGGGTTGTCGCAAGATGAGTTGTCCTGATGTAGTTTGGGATGATGTAGTAAAGTTGTGGGATTGAACCCTATTGTCTATTTATTATTATTCCTCCTTTTGTGAATGAATTCAAACTGGCTAGCTAAATGATTCTTACATCTATATTTAAACGAGTCTCACTGATCAACAGAGCAATGGCTATAATTTCTTGGGCTGCATTTAATATGTGTTGATATTATGACGGCAGCAGAAATATATATTGATTTCACTGTAACCTTTTAAGTGTAAAGCTACTGCTAGTGTTAGTAGAGCCATAGAAACAGGGGCCTAGGGATAGAGGCATACATTCGCGCATTATTAAACTGACCATTTTTCACAATCAAATGCAATATTGAAAATGTTTTTGTATGGGTTGAAGTTAAATGAGCTCTGAAGGAACAAAACCCCAGTAATCAAAAGTTTTAAAAGCTAATTTATAATGTTAACAATTTTCATGCTTATTTTATTGATACTCACTTTTCATTGTATATTTGTTGTAGGGAATATATGCTATCCCTGACCATGGATAAGAAGAAGAAGGTTTTAATACTTGGATCTGGATATGTTTCTGAGCCTGTAATAGAATATCTTACAAGAGACCCCAATGTTGAAATAACAGCAGGTTTGTAAGTAAGGTTATAACCCTAAACCTCAGCATTTATTTGAGAAAGATTGTTTTTTTGTTCCTTCTGTTTGTTCTTGGCTGGGGTATAGGTAGTCCTTACTTTATGACCACAATTGGGACCAGAATTTCCATTGTTCAAGCAAGTCAGTTGTTAAGAGTCACACCCAATTTTACAATTGTTTTTTTTTTTGTCATGGTTGTTAAGTTAGTCAGGCTGTTGTTCTGGCTTCCCCCATTGACTTTGCTTGCTGGAAGACAACTGGGAAAGTTGCAAACGGTGATCTCGTGACGCTGGGACACTGTAACCAATGCTGGTTGCCAAGTACCAAAATTGTTTTTTTGCCTGATCATGGAGATACTGCAATGGTTGCAAATAGCACTTAGACTTATATACTGCTTTACAGTGCTTTTACAGCCCTGTCTAAGTGGTTTACAGAGTCAGCATGTTGCCCCTAACAATCTGGGTCCTCATTTTACCGACCTCGGAAGGTTGGAAGGCCGAGCAAACCTTGAGCTGGGTGAGATTCAAACTGCCAAATTACAGGCAGTCAGCAGAAGTAGCCTGCAGTACTGCATTCTAACCACTGCCACCGTGGCTCTTACAAGTGCAAGGGCTTGTCATAAGTCACTTTTTCAGTGCCCTTTGAATGATCACTAAACAAATGGTTGTAACTCATGGACTGTGCAGGCTCTGTGCAGGCTCTGCAGGACTATGCAGATTCTACTTGCAAGAAGGGCATCACTCTTACAGAGGCATCCTACCATGAAAACATTTTAACATTAAATCTTATGAAAACAACTACCCTTATTAATTTTGGAATTACATCAAGGAATGGGTAAAAGCAGAAGAAGGCAAGCCTGTGTTTCAGTGCCATGGGGTTCTGTACATCTTCAGGCCTGCATGTGTGAATAGTTGCTTTGCTCTTCCTCAGTGCCTGTTTTTTTATTATTATGTGGTGGGCTTTTAAAAATCCTAATATGGAAGCTGCCTAGAGTTGCTTCTATGACTGAGGTTTATAGATGTTTATAAATAAATAAAAAACCACCTCTGAAATACTTACCCTAAGATGGAAATAAATCCAATATACCTGTGTGCATTGATATTTGTAATGTGCTGCTAGATCTTCTTCCTGAAATATGCTGTGTTTCTTTGGAATTAACTTTTCCAATACTGGCATTAGCATCTCTGTATTATTATTATTTAATTGCAGAATTGAGATTTGGATGGAATCTTGGTCCTTAATTTTTAAAATTTTGTTCAGTTGATGTTGTCAACATCTCTCCATCCATGATAAAATTGTAGGGTGGGGTGGTTTTTTTGTTTTTTGTTTTGCTTTATTTAGTGGAAGATACAGAGTCTTATGGCACTTGCTAGCAAGTTGAGTTAAAATTCACCTGGCTGCTTACGGTGTCACCCACATTAAATCTCTGCCTGGTGGAGAATGTGGGAGTAGTTGACCTGAATGGCTTAGAATGACTAAGCCGTCATTTCATTATTTTCATTTGTTGATACTCTTGATTTCTTTCCCCTTCAAACAGTTTCTTCGGTGAGCCTTTGTCCTAGAACAGGTACTGCTTTGCCTGCATGGATTAGCTTAGTTTTAGCTAAATATTGATCAGAACTCCTCCTCCTGTTCTTGCCACTATCTACCACAACATGGTTTTAGAGAACATTCACTTTTCGGTCACGATTCTACAGATAATATTTTTCAAGCAATAAGCCTTGTTTGTTGAAGTTTTATTGCTCTAATCCATTTGATACCCCGTTCTCCTTTCGTCTCAAAATGCTGCCTCCCAGAAACCATTGCTTCATAATGGTTCATAACAGCCCCCTCATAATGGCTGCTTCAGAAACCATTGCAAATCACGGAAGTTTATTACACCTATTTTATTGCCTACGAAAAATAATTTTGCCGACTTGTGATGGCTAAGGTACTAAAAAAAAATATCCCATTATTGGTTTACACGACCAGTTGGACTTTATATCTCACAGATAATCCCCTTCTTTTCTGGATGGTTCAGCAAGCTATGCCTAATCCGATAAGGATGTGAAACTTTCTGACGTTGTTTCAGTGGAGGAGGAGTGCATGAGAAAAAGGTTTTCCTGATCTCATCCTGCTAACGCTAAGCTACGATTCTGGTTCTGGTTTTGAGAGGCAGCGTACTTGTCAAGTCCAAGATAATATACAGGTTAAAAATTCTGTGGGAGCCAGTCTTTTTCATCTATCATTTGCACTCTCCAATAGCCTCTATCATGAAGACTCAGCTTGAGCAGTTGTCCAAGAAATACAGTAATGTTGTTCCCATCGTTATGAACATCACAGAAGACGACAGATTATCATCATTGGTGAAGAAGCATAATCTTGTTATTAGGTCAGTATTTGAACATCAATTTCAGAAAGTGAAAACAAACTGTTCGAGAATAAGGCTTGATAATTTAAGCATCTGATTCCTAGCAGTCACCCAGGTTGGAATTTTATTTATTGAAACCTTTTAGGTGTTTACCGCCAAGCCTATCTTTAGATAACATTAGCATTAAACAATAAAAATGAAATATAATGGTAAAATGATCACAAAAATAAAGTCTAAATGTATATGTTCATATCTCTCATAAGTATACCCTGATGAAATATAGGGAAATTCACCAAAGATTATATGATAATACATTTGGTCTTATATCAATGTTGCCTTTTCTATTATTATTTAAAACTTGTTTTTTTTTTTTTTTACTAAGGACATGCTCCAAGCTAATTGAAACATACAATATATTTTCTGGTTCAGGTATTTTTTCCCAAAGAACTGAGGATTATATATGCTAATTTCCCCCAATTTGGTGTTTCTATGGAGTTTGATGGAAGATCATAATCTGGAACAGCACAGTTTGAGAAAAAATGAGATGTAAACTCCCTTCCTCCCTCCCCCCCCATTTTATTCTTAACAACATCTTTGTGAGAGAAGAAGGATAGTAACTGGCTCATGTTCACTCACTGATATTATTTATTTATTTTATTTATGTATTAAAAATGTACTGTATGGCTGTACATCTGAAGCAAATAACTGGATGGAAACAATAAAAACCAATATAAAACAACAAAGATATAATAAAAAGAGACAAAATAAATACAAAAGCTGAAGCATCTTAGGCATAATTAAAAATCCCAATGCCCCTACACTATATCACGTCCCGCTAACAACTCTGCGTTTTTGCTATTTTAAACCCAATTTATTCCATTTCAAATTTGTCATAGTAACCGAAGAAGTTCATAATTCTGATTTCAGTGGACTATGTAGAATTAAAGAAGTATGTTTTTCTATGTATGGGTGTGTGAGTATCCATAACAAGAATGTGGGTGTGTGAGTACTGGTGAAACATGCACACACACACACACACACACACACACACACACACACAAGAAAGCTCATCTAGCAAGAATTAAATGCATTAATTGCCTCACCTTTAATTAAGTATTGGTCCATTTGAGTTAGCACTGACAACTAATGATTTCCCATAATGATTAAACAGAAAGAGGGACAGACATAGATCTTCTACCTGCAAACTTTAATGAGAGATTCCAGAGTTAAACCTGGACCATTACATATATAGCATGTGCCCTAGCCCTCTCAAAATTTCATTTAGCAGTTCTTATATGTTGTTGCAAAAATGCTGCTTGATAACATTTGAAAAATAAATTAGAGCATATTTAGAGACAAAAAAAGTTAGTCCAGAAAAGTTATTTTTAAAAATCTGACAAATATTTCCTTCTTAAACCTTGGTATTGAATCCTATTTGTGGATGTAAGTGTGCCTAAAAAAAGAAGTTATTTTTCTTTTCGCTTTGTAACCTTATTTTAAAAGTCAGAGAATGACCTTTCCAATTAAACTGATTTTACAGAAATCGGTAATTATGGTTACCTTTCTCTTTAGAAATGAGACAACATTGGCCTGGGTTTTCTGCCTGTTTTGACAGCCTAGAAAAGAATTGGCATTTTCTACTGTTCACCTTGCCCTCACTTTTCTCCCCTCTTGTTCTAGTTTGTTGCCATATTCATTCCATCCTCTGGTTGCTAAGAAATGCATTGACAGCAGGGTGAATTTGGTGACCGCAAGTTACCTGACGCCTGAAATGAAAGAGCTACAGAAAAGGTACGAGCCTGTTTGAGCACTTAGCATCCTCTGCAGATTTCCCAGCATCCTTCTTAAAGCTGAATGTAAGTAATAAGTCAGGTAAATGACTTAAATGTGCATTATCTCCAGGCACCGAAATTCACCATTTAAATCAGAATATCAAAATCCAGCATGGCTAAGTCATAACTTTGCTCCCATCTTGTGACGAACGTACAAAGGAGGCAAGGTTTGTGACAACTCTGCCCTGTTGGTGAGTGACAACAGTTTGGCCAGTCCTCACTTCTCCTTCAGATGTCACTTCCTCCAGCAAGAATGAATAACTGGCCTCATGGTTTTTTCCTCAAAATCCTTTGCAAACCGTGGCTGGATTATCCCGCTTAAGAAATATAAACAGTCTTTTGGTGGCAACACTTAGCTGTTTCTAAGAGGATGAAACAAAGCAGGCAGGATGATGTCATGCCTCTAATATGTTGGGCTTCCCAGCCATTAAACACTCCCCTCAAGTTTCTGCTTTGTTTCATAAGCTATTAAACATGTAATAGGCACATGCAATAGTATTATTTTTTTCAATTTTCCCACCTCATTCAGAACCCATGACAGTGATTTTGGCAGTTGTAACAGGGAGGTATGTACACCAGAAAGAAAGGAAATGGAAGGAAATGGAAGGAAAAGGAAGGGAAGGGAAGGGAAGGGAAGGGAAGGGAAGGGAAGGGA